CATGCTTAGCCATCGCCTCCCCCGACGGGCATTACTAGCTGATGTAGGTGCAGGTTGGAAAAGAGTAAGTGGTGGTCAAACAAAAACATGGCATCAATCCATGAAATCCCTGACAGTTAAACTGAGTCAGGTAGGGAGATGCAGACTTCCGGGTTGGGGCCCGCCCTCGGGACTCTAAGAATCAATGGCTGGAGACAATAGGTGACATGGCTCAAAATCCTTGTCAATGGCTTACGCAGATGTATTCAGTCTCTGTAATCTTTCATATTCCTTTCTACCATTACTCATTCTGTTTCACTCTTATACTTGTCAAAACTCTATTGATTCTCTTCACTCATTTTCTTGTCTACCTTTGTGTGCTATTTGGAACGTGGTAAGTCGAACTGCTGCACTTCGGTGCCAAGTTCTATGTTGAATCCAGCCAGCCAGCATATCAAACATTCTATCGCCAATTACTATTCTTCTTAAAGATCCTCGAAGAAGGGGGAATATTATGCAATAAATTCCAGTGATATTTCCATACATTTAATGAACACAGTTCATAAAAAAAGCTGTTGCTATTATTTCGACAATATAATAAGAAGACGTAGTTTATCTGAAACGTGTAATGTATTTGTGCAACATATTTCGGATATTCTGATCACACACACCCGCGTACTTGTCATACACGGTTTTATAGAGGGCAACAAGGCATGAATAATCACAATACAGATCAGATTGTGTACAGGTCAAGGTAACAAATAATGTGTCCAAAAAATATTCGTTATTACTTTAAACCTGCCTTGGTAATCCAATTTAGAACCGAGGATCAATTTACTTCATAATATTTCCAACCCCTTCTTTGCTTTGTTTTTTTCTCTTTTTATCTTTCTTACCAACACCTTTGCGTCTCTCTACCCATTATTTGTGACCTTGACCTGTACACAATCTGACCTGTATTGTTATTATTCATGCCTTCTTGCCTTTTATAAAACCGTGTATGACAAGTACTGGTGTGTGTGATCAGAATGTTCGAAATGTGTTGCGCAAATACATTACACGTTTCAGACAAACTACGTTTTCTTATTGAGTTATTATTATTATTAGCTTTCTAAATCCAGCTGCGACTGAAATTTTCCTTGCATAATCAGTCGATCATGTTACCGTTAAATCAAAGCCATCCGTCATTATATTTATATTATAATTATTACTCTCGAGGGTTCCCAGTACAACATAGAGCTTCAAGAGAACATCTTCATGCCATCCGGTTATCTATAATCCTCTTCAGATGACCACAAGATAGCCTATAAGCTATCCTCTCCTCCTCACAAGATATCCTTTATGTCACCCTCCAGACACACACTCAACTTGCCGTTTCCCATTCGGGTTCCACTTAAGCGATGGCCTGTGGTGCGATGTCATCTTATGGTCTCCTCATGGTGTCTCAGATTCATCAACATTTTCTTCTCCATATTTTTGTTGAGCAACAACAACCCTGAAATGTTATTTTATGATTGTTTAGAGTTCTTTCAACCAAATTAACTGATCATCTTGGCGATACACATTCTTAAATATCATTTCATAACTTCTTGTATGACTATAGCTTTACTGTCACCATGCATAATCATATCATAGCTTTCACTACCCAATACTGAGTTATTATTATATGCTGTTTATTTTCCTTTCTACTTCTTGGTATATTTTCACATTTTTTTAAAAATTATTTTGTGTTTTCCTGTTGTTTTTTCTTGCTGTTGGTGTTTTCATATTTTTTTTGAAATACTCCTTTGAAATATTTGATGAAATTAGATGCAAATATTGTAGATATGTGCTGAAAATTCCACACTGTACCACTAGTACTGTTTCTGGAATAAAGCAAATTATTATTATTATTGATTGGTTCGTTCCCAGAGTTACTAGTTGCTAATTCTTTCTGGCCATCTCTATCAACTTAAAGCTATTTCAAATATTCCCAATATCAATGACTAAGTAAAAATAAATGGTGGATACTGACAGAGCGTGACCACATCTCATTTAAACAAGGAGGGAGGGGGATGTCAGTTGAAAAAAAATGACAAGATGTGTAGATTATAAACTACATTTACAACTTTTACACCTAAATTCTTCGTTATTGACATTTTTAAGGCATACATATCCTTCAACAAGTCACTGAACAGTGCTCAGATTTAATCTACTTCCTCGAAATAGAAAAACAAATAGTGAGTACTGAAAAGATATCAAAATTCAGCTAGCTCTGCTCACTTCCACCTTCATCTCCCTACCCCGCCGTCCCGATCCGCAACAACATTACTGTTATCAAGATTTATGTCAAAGAGAATAGATTGAATTTAGTCAGAAAAAGTGATTCGGACGATGAGTAAACTGTGAAGACTGGAAGCTTATTTGACGTATTTTGTTGGTGTGTAGTGTGTGTGTATGTTCTCCAGTGATTCATTTCGACAGTAAGCAATCAGTCAGTCAGTCAATCAATCAACCAATCGATCAATAACATAACGAACTGAGAATGAGGGGCTAGATTCTGCCTGGGTGTTTTTTATTGTTTTTTTTCGTTTTATTTCGTGAAACGCTTGTTTCACTGAATAAATAGGTAAATAAACAATCCAGGGAAATAAAATGGTGAGGAAAAAAAGAAATTCTGTTTACAAAAATTTCACTTTTAATAATATATACATATTAAATATGTAAAAATAAAACAAATATATATGTAATTGGGCTAGTATTAATGAAATTTAACGGTTTCTTTTCCACTCCCTCTCTCTTCTCATCTCTCCTACTTTAATATGAGGGAAAGAGAAGAGGAAGAAGAAGAGGATGGGAAGAAACACTCGTAATGCTATTCACATGGGTGTGTAGGCATGTTTCTCTAGGATGAGATACCCATTCATCATATTGGCTGCTTACCCTAAATATACACAATACTTATACAGTGAAGCAATGCGAAAGAGAAAATAACAAGGATAGTTCTGTTAGAATTTAATCGGTGGATGGTGACTAGCAATGGAATCCAGGATGCGCACTTCGCCCTATTCGGGACTCCTCAGCTGGATGTACCTGACTGCATTCCCCATTACATGCCTAAACATCGTCGAAGCATCTGTACAAGAAGCCGACATGCCAACCTGAGACCGAGTACTTCGGTCCAATCAATCGACGGGAAAATCTAAAATTCAATTAAATTATTAATGTAACCCATTCCACAAGATGTGGCTCTCGTGGCCCAAGTGGTCTGGTGGATAACGCTATGGCGTTTGAAACTATGGGCACTGGGTTCGAGTCTCAGTGGGAACATCGTCACTCACTGTGAAACGCAGGTACATCCAACTTACGAGTTCCAAATAGGACGAAATGCGCGTTGTCCTGGATTCCACTGCTAGTCACCATCCACCAATTAAATTCTCATTACATGCCCAGACGTCGTCGAAGCATCTGCACAAGAAGCCGATATGTCAACCTGAGGCCGAGCACTTCCGTCCAATCAATCGACGCGAAAATCCAAAATTCAATTAAATAGTTCTGTTAGGCAGATAGTCTTACCCAAACTTTGAAAATAAAACTATGCCAATTATATAGTGACCAGAGGAAATGAGCTTGAGTAATAACAATAATAATATTAATAATAAGGCTTACTAATAAACCGGTTGTAACGAAGACAGCACTTCAAGTGAACATAGAAGAGACCCTATAAGCAACATAGAGAAGCGCACTAATCATTTGAGGAAAGTAACTTCCTCCACTTATCTAGGTAGTATCGCTTCAACTATATGCATCAGCGACGATGAGGATATGTTAAAGCCAGTCAAGATCAGAAAGGCAAGGCAGATCTTCATTATTCTGAAACCAGTGTGTGGAAATCTCTACTGCACTTAGCATAAAGAACAAACTAATGTCAGGTCAGTCACTTCTTCTATAGGTGGTGCATAGACATGGAGAACGGAGTCACGAAAAGCGATTCGAATAGGCTGAAGAGATTTTTATCAACAGCTGTCTTTGTCCTATACAGAAGATCAGATGGCCAACCAGAAGAGAACTAACAACAAGGAATTCTGGGAATGAACCAATCACGAACCGATTGCTCAGCAGATATTACGAAGAAAATGAAGATGGATGGGATATGCGCCCTGGGGAGACTGACATCGCGCACCATGCGCGGCCTCCAGTAGAACTGGGATGAGAAACGATGAGTTGGGTGTGAGTTCAAGGATGACAGTGTATAGGAAATCGTGGAGCCAGCTAAAAAGAGAACTGCAAAGAACCGGATGAAATGGAGATGTTCTGTTGGAGCTTTATGCTCCACTCGGAACTGGAGCCAACGACTATAATAACCATAATCATAATAATATGAAGAAAGAATAAGAATATTGACATAGTGATAGATAAATTGTTGTACATTAAACAATCCAGAATATTGGAAAGGCAAAAATTATAACATCCAGCGTAAATTATCGTCACTTGGGAGATTCAAGAAGTACAAAAAGAGAGGGAGAGAAGGCGAATAAGCTACTATTACACACACAAACACACACATTTCCCTTCAACTCATATTGACTGATCGCTGCAATGTAGTAAGCACTTTCATGTGTCTACTCCATAGTATTTGTGCTAGCAGTCATCCTATCAGCCTGGTTCGCAATCTGGTCACTATGCTAGAAAACTTGATATTGCGATGCACTTTGAAATGATGTAAGATAATTGAAGGCAGTCGGCAGAAAACCCAGAACATAGGTTTCGTGACATTTGCCACTCATCATCGAGACATATTTGAAACCTCAGAGATTCAAACCGACGCCGACTAGTGCCGTAATCACAGACGTTACTACTGAATCCAAGGGGATATACCAGTTGCTTCAAGACCGCAAATACGTCTTGTTGACAAGTACCAATGGACACAAGACCTGGGGTCTAGGGAATTTTACCAACTGCCTCTAATCACCTAACAGCAATCAACTTATGCCTACATAAGAGTACTTGGCATTAATAAAAAAAATAAAAACGTCAATTACCTGTAAAAGTAGTTGATATTTCAGTACACGCTGGACTGGCTTTAGTAAATAAGTAGCCAATGGAAGTTGATGTTGTAATTCCAACTGACAATTGATAAGGTATGTCCATACTTCTGTACGAGATTTCTGTTCCTCTTCTAATAAATGAATACTTCTATATCACAAAAAAAAACAATTATTAATACAATGTTACTAAAGTAGAAAGGCATTTCATTTATTTCAGAATAAATATTACACTTACGAAATGTACAACTTAAATTGCAGATTGAACTATAAGTGATTTCGATGCTGAGCTATATACCTCTGATAATATCTTGAGTCACTGAGTAACACAGTCTTTCAAATAAGATTCAGAAAGATATGATCCGGTCAACAAATGCCACGTTAACACAACTATATTTCACCGCAAGAAATCCAAAGAAATGGTGCATCTCAAGTATTAAAAGTCTTGAACAGCACCCATCCTAATAATAAGTTTACAATGGAGTATGAAAAGGAGAAGTTTCATTTTCTTGACATGGGTATCCAACGAGATATAGACGGCAAAATCATAAGATATATACACAGAAAAGAGACCTGGAGGGCGGTTTATCTTTACTTCAAAAGCTTCTGCCCCTTAAGTTACAAAAAGGGATTGGTGAGAACATTATTTGATCATGTAAGGAAGCTGTGTTCAAAAGAAAAGATTGAGGAAGAGCTATCCATTGTGGAGAAATGCTTACGCGACAACGGTTACCCACAAAAGTTCATCGACAAGTATGGGAGACGTCATGTTGAAAAAGTGAAAAGCAGCACAGTAGAGAAAAAGCCCATTTTTCTGCAGCTTGCATTCAAAGGTGATGATACAACTAGTAGAATAAGATGCACAGACTGAACGCTGCCCTGAAAAGAACATATCCAGCCGCCAAGCTTGTATGCTTTTATCAAACAACTAGTTGTTTGAGACAATCAAAAGTGGACAAATACCCACCTCATGTTACCTCCAACTGTGTCTACCAATTTACATGTACGTGCCTAAGCACATACATTGGAAGAACATAGAGAAAAGGGTTATTGTCCGCATTTCTGAACACATACCAAAGAACCTGAGACTGAAAGGTCCGCAAGCATTAAACAGTGCGATTGCGCGTCATCTATTGGACACTGGTCATATTGCAGACAACCTGAAATCGTTCAAAATAATCAACAAGCCAAAGAAACCTAGCTTGCTACGCTTTGCTGAAGCAATCGCTATCAAACGACTTAGACCAAATCTACGTACGCAGAAAGAGACAGTGGTGAATCTTGCACTGCCCTGGTGATAACAAAATGTACAACTTTATGAGTCACCCTTTTTTCTTGTTTAGAAAACTCCACTCTCTCATCTAAACATGACTCGCCCTACCTTGTTCTTTTCTTTTTTTCTATTGGCTATTAGATAAAACATTTTCTTTAGTTACGTAATCTACTTTTCTGTTATGCTCTTTCTAGCTAAACCTTGTTTCCATACACACACATATATACGCAACTGTGTTTTTGTTTCCAAGCCTAATTGTCTAATTATTCCATAAATAGTCAGTGTTTGTAACTCTTAATTAGTTAAATCATTCCGGACTATTGTTACTTTTACTTCCTACCAATCACTCCTTGTGATCGTGGAAAAGTATGTTCAAATCTTTAATGTAATTCATATTTTTTATCGTTCAGGTTGAAACCAGTTGAGAAGAATCCTCGAAATAATAAAAGATGAGCTCACATTATCCTGGTACAATTGTTGTTCTTGCTTTGTTCAAGTTTATTGATAGGAAGAATTGCATGAAGTTTTTAAAGAAATCCAAAGGTTGGCAAACAATACGTAGGGACAAGATTCCTAAGATATTATTAGGCCACGAAAGTCATTGTGTCAAGATGTCCCAAATGATCGTTGTCTGATTAGTAGCAGTCTTAAGTGTCACACCTCTACTAGCACTTAACCACTTCATTTATTTTTTTTCAAATTTAATTCTTTTGCGTTTCGAGTGAAACACACGGCTTCATGCTTCAGCTTTGAAGTTTCGGTAGCAGTGATGTTTGTATTTTTACCGGACGGGGTTACTAGCCTCACACCCAATCTTCCGTCTTTACCGGTCTTACTACCGGTGAAACGAGCAGTGTGTCGGCCGGGAATCGAACTCGGACCACGTGAGGCGTGTCTGGTGAGCACGCAACAACTAATATACTGATGCCCAGCACTGACATAACCACTCAGAAATAAAAACTTTTCAACCACTTCTAACAGTTCAGATGCCTAAGTGAGTATCCGAAAAATCTCATGTCAACCACTTCGAGAGAGCAAATCAAACGCCGTACTTACTAATCGCTTATTGATTAACTGCCAGCTGAGTAGGATACGAGTGCATCGATCGTTCAGTAGTTGAACACTGGCCAACCACGCAGGAATTGGTCCATGGTTTGATTCCGGCCGACGAATTCGAAAGCCTCATTTAGCCTGTACTAAGCCCAGTAAGGCGGGAAAGTTGGGTTAGAGACTAGCAAACTCACCCCGAAAAAGGAAATATCACTACCACTGAAACATCATCCCTTAATCTTATCACATCTTCATTAAAAATGTGTTTCATTTACTTCCCTTACAATCCAGAATTACGTAATCGGTCCATTTGTTTAGCTTAGCCTTTATCGACTACTACTTCCACCTGAACAGTTGTTTGTTTAATCATGCTGTTTTTCGCTATTCCTGTTATCACAGATTGCCTCACTTTTTTTCCTTTTTATTGACAAAACCATTAATATTATTATCATTACTACTATAATGACTAAATGCACATTTTATATTCACCATCTTATTGTCCTACAGACAAAACACCATGATTGATGTATATTTGAATTTTTAATTGTAAAGTCATGTATATTAGAGTTAATTTGACTTCATGAGATCTAACTGAAACCACAAATAATGTCCGCTTAAATGTGTTGTTATAAATTTTACTACTGAAACAACAAAGCTGAAGCTTGAAACCCTGGAACCCGACTCGGAAACCAAAAGAAAATACAATAATATAGTAGTAATAATAATGATTTCCCACAAACTGGAAGATATGAAAGTGAAAAGCAACAAGTTGGCAGAAGAAGCATCAAAGATAGCAAGGACTTCAGGTGAGCATAGAGAAAACAGAGGTGATGAAGATTCCTGGCCAACAGAAACAGCAACAGACAACAGTCAGTATAAATGGGAGGGACCTGAAAGAAACAACCTCTTTTACCTACCTAACTGGGAAGCATCGTTTCAACTACACGCGCACGGAACTGATGACGATACCAAAGCAAGAATCGGAAAAGCAAGACAAGCTTTCACTACTCTCAAGTCTGTGTGGAGGTCAACAGCACTCAGCATCAAAATTAAGATTGGGATTTTCAACTCCAATGTGAAGTCAGTGCTACTCACTATCCGGATCAGAGACTTGGTGCGTCATAAAGAGCATCTCAAACAAACTACAGACCTTCATTAACAGTTGTCTTCGCTCAATACTACTCAAGATCAGATGGCCAGAAAACATCAGCAATAGTGAGGTATCTCTGGCAATGAGCGAACCAACACAGCAGGAACCGATTGTGAAACAAATAGGCAGGAAGAAATGGAGATGGATTGGCCATACTCTGAGGAAACCATCAAGTGACATCACACGACAGGCCATCGCTCGAGTGGAACCCGAAAGGGAAGCGGCGAGTTGGTCGTCAGTGCAAGGGTGACTTGGAGGAGGTCATGTGAAGAGGAGATGAAAGCGTGTGGGCAGACTTGGAGCCAGGTGAAGACTCTAGCAGAGAACCGAACGCAATGGAGACGCACGGCTGAAGCCCTATGTTCCTCTAGGAATTAAAGGATACAATAATAATAATAATGAGTAGAATACAGATTATGTGTTACCAGAAGATGAAATGGTTGAAATCACACCTAAAAGAATATGAGTCTCACTAATCAGGTTGCCAGATATTTACTGAATTACATTTTAAACTGTAGGACTTTGCACTAAAGTGTAGAAGTTCAAGTTGACAGATTTCATAAAAGTACACATAAATGAAGAGAAAAGAAATGCAAAGCATTCCAATGGATCTAGGAGATGACAGAGAGTGAATGCATTCGAGTCAATAATCATCAGTCATTGATTCTTAACATCTCAACCGCCCCATCTAACCTGGTACTCCACACTTCCTTAAACGGGTGGCGACAACCAACAATCAAAGACTTCATAGATTGCTGTCATCTTGATTGATTTGACCACTCCTAATTCTTTTCTAACCACATCCTACGCCAGCTAACACTTCTCAACTGGGAAAGATGACGCTTGATAAAAGCACACAGTAGTATAGTAATATTTACTGATGACGTTTCGAGCACACTTTATTGCCGCTCATAAGTATACCAAGGCACTACTCACACAACTTTCCAACTTCGTTTATATAATTCTATTATTTCCCATCTTTCAGTGTAAACGATAGTAGTAATTTCCATATCTTTGGTTTTATTGTTGAGTCATTCCTATTGCACATGTTGTTACGTGTAAATTCGATGAACAAAGATTCAGTCATCAACCTCTCTCTCTCTCCATCTACCTATATTACTTTTTAGAAGTGTAACTCTGTCTCATCCCAATGTGTGATTCTGTGTTAATGCATGGCATTGCAGTTGTTGAGTTCTCCTCTGAACTATTCATCTTCGTGGAGTCAATCATTCTACACTTATCTAAGCTCTTATGCTCACCGCACCACTGACTGACCGACTTCACCTCCTCACCTAAGTTCCTACGCCTAACCCCTTATTGTCGTTGATTAAATTATACCTATCACCTAAAATGGGAGATAGAACGCAGATATCTATCGTCAAACACGATTATTATTCCCTTCAATCTCCCACTTTCAACGGTCGTATTTCACAGTCGCAGAGAAGAAGAAGACGAAGAAGAACAGAGTGAACTGCTAGGCAGTACACACATGCTGTTTGCTCGATAGTCGGATAGAGCATCTACATTGAAGATCATGTAAGTTCGTGAATGGTAGATGGGTCTTCATATCCGAACTAGACAAAGAGGTTTCCAATGCTTGAGTCATCCCACACACATACACACAAACCGAAAAACCAGTAGAGTTATACTTTAAGAACATACTATAAATGTAAACAAT